AATATAAAAAAATAGTATAAAACAATAGCCGAGTATATTACAAAAACAGCAGAAACAGCAACAAAGCATTATAAGTTTTTAAAAAAGGTACCCTATAGTAAGTTATTTCGGTGGGAATAGTGAACTTCCACTTTAATGTAATTTTGCTTTACGAGATACGTTAAAATTTAGATATTTACAAAATGTTGAGTTGGTTAATCCTTTCACTATCGTGAGCACGTGTGTACATCCCCCTCTACAGCACTGCCACGTGAGCCTGGAACTTTGTATCACCACAAAGAGAGGGTATTTCCCACTTTCAAACTGCCTGTAGTTTTTCGGTTTCAAATAAGTAATGAAATATTAAAACATCTGTCATTTTATTTTTGCTTGTGTATCTATAAATGAATTGACACTGGGAGATTTGTATATCTACAAACGTGGCAGTGAAAGAATTAAAGCGTATAAAACTATAATTGCTGTTTCAAAGTTGAGATCGTAAAATGTCGTTTTATTTCTTTCAGGACTGTTTTCAGCAGCTATAGCGCAGAGTGGGAGCTCTGTTGCCAGATGGGCTATTCAGCGTAATCCGTTCCGTTACGCATCCCGCTTGGCTCGGAGTGTCGACTGTCCAAAGAGCGCAAACACTAAAAATCTCATGAAATGCCTTCGAAGAGTTGCAGCAAATGCTCTGGCTAGGACAACCCGTATGGCGGTAAATGTGCAATATCAAAAATAGTGTAAAAAAGTTAATCGCAAAGCACAATGATATAAGATAACTAAACTAAAAATTCTAAACAATCGATAGCACTGGTCGAGAAAATCGAACTTTTTTCTCTCAGTCACTTTTTTTCGCTGATTACAAATCTGTTTCCGGTTTTCTTCTAGCATATCTAGTTATCGAAATATGACTGGTGTTAATTTCAGCACAACTTAGGTAATAATCACATATTAGGCTAGTTAACGTTACAACTTTATTAATTTTTCAGTATAATTCCCATAAACGTTATACACACCATACACTTGGTTAAATTTATACAGCACACACTTATGAAAAAATGAAATGTACAACTTCAATTATAATTAAGGCAATAACCTTTCAAATTTGATCGGTCTCATCATGAAAACTTGACGTGCTAGAGGGAAACCAAAAACAGTTTTGGAATCAGGAGCTAATTATATGTGATGAAAATGACATGTTGTCCAGTGTAATATTAAAAATCATCATTAATTTAAATGGGCCAGGTGGTTAGGGCGCTCGACTCGCAATCTGCGGGTCGCGGGTTCGAATCCCCGTCACACCAAACATGCTCGCCCTTTCAGCCGTGGGGGCGTTATAATGTGACGGTCAATTCCACTATTCGTTGGTAAAAGAGTAGCCCAATAGTTGGCGGTGGGTGGTGATGACTAGCTGCCTTCCCTCTAGTCTTACACTGCTAAATTAGGGACGGCTAGCCCAGATAGCCCTCGTGTAGCTTTGCGCGAAATTAAAAACATTAATTTAATTTTGGTTTTTAAAATTCATCTTTTTTTTTGTATCTATAGAGTAACTAATTGCAAAATTTATAGATTGGCCAAATTTGAAGTTTTTTGATATTCTTACGCTACAAGATGGGCACAACGTGTTTTTCGCCACTCTATCTTATTCTGTGAAGAATATGCAGTTATTCAGTATTTTTACAATCTAAACTTGCAGAAGTTAGAACCATTAAGTTTTATTTTTTACCTTCATGTAAGGTACGTTTTTGAACTTTATACAATGAATAAAAACCCTATAATGAGTGCTTTCGAAAAGTGGACCTTTTCTCTTCAGGGGCAAACTGGGAATTTTAAACTTTATTCAGTCAGTGTAATAGAGCATAGCATATTATTCTATTTGTAGCCCTAACCACTCCTAAGTTGGAACTAGCGGGGTTTCTTTTAATCGAAAGTACGACCAAGGTGCATTTAAAAACATGTACGAGAATGACGATATGTACGCGTAGGAATACTCAAGCAGTAAGTCTAGTGTAGCGCCATCTGTTGGCACTATTATACTGCAGAACAAGCAGTATGAAACAAGCAATGAAAACAATTGAAGGAATACCCACAACTATAAGAATTAATCAGAATATTATGGTGTGAAATAAAAGCGCTATTGAATTTCAAAAAACATGAAATTTGTTTTTCAAGTCAATGCTGAATGAGTATTTTTTCTACTGCGATTTTCAGTACAAGAAGGTTCCCCTCCCGTATCTCAGGGGCAAGACTTATGACGCTAAAATTATGCTGAATTAAACCGCTTGAAGTTCGATGCTGACTGTTAATGCCTTAAACTTGAAGTGCACATATACTTAACACTTACATTAACTATCGGCGTTTCGAAATTCATACTGTAGATTGCGCAGAACTGTAAACAAACTATGACAACTTTCACTTACGTAAAATTAAATTCGAAATATCCCTTTTATTTTTCAAAATTTTCAATTCTTGGCAAGAATAAAGATGTTACTACAGATATGATAGCATATAATCCTCTTCTGTTACATGATTTGTTTTGCCATTTAAGGTTACGGTGCTCTATAAATGTGATTGTCAAATCCTCCTATTCGATCAGAGAGAGAAACTCGTGGAATTGCAGTGGGTGCTTTTGAAGTGCTGTTTTCCATCCAGTCCATCAATTCAAAATAAGAACGGTTATTTTTGGAACAGTTTAAAGTATACAATGGTAAACTAAGAAACCTAGTAACATGAGCTATTTTCATTAATTTTCTCTATAATTTGTTAGTTTGTTTTAAACCACAAAGCTACACAATGGACAATCTATGCTGTGCCCACCTCGGGTATCGAAACCCAATTTTTACTATTACAAGTTCATTGATTTATCACTAAGCTATCGGGGAGAGAGACGGGCGATTTTCCCTATAAACAGTTACTCTTTGATGGTGCCATGATGATCTACACTGTTACATTTTTACATAAGAGTCCCGTAGGACTGTTATTTTGTCGGACAACAGCCTGCATTATTGTAATCGTTCGAAATTTTACACCGGATAACTTTACTTTCATCGATTGTAACACATGTTTTTCATGGAGTAATATTGTGGGGTTATCAAACAAAAACAGTATAGATAACCTCAACATTTATCGATGTAGTGAAATACACCTTTGGCGAAGGAAAAGACTAAATCACGTTTGAATGCAATATTTACAATACATTATTTGTAATAAGTACATCATGGATTTAAAACCTCTTTATTTTAAATTTGAAAAATAACCAAATAAAGGAAATGTAATAAACATCTACACTCAACCTGATTTTCAAGGTGTCGATTGTTGAAGGCATTTAGACTGAGTTAAAAAATGAATTATTTTAAATCCTAAATAATTTAAACAATGTGTAGTAGAAATTAAAACTTAACATTGTTTAATTTGATTTTTTCCCTTCTTTCTTTTTACAATTTCCAATTGTGAATGTTTTTGTGATAACCACTAAAATTAGTTATCAGGGTTAAATTAGGCTTAATGTAATATGAAGTACGATATTAATAGTGTTATAATATTTCATGGATATACATTTAAGTTTTATACAAGATTTAGAAACTATTGTGCATTTTTGTAGTTTCTTGTCTTATGGTCGCCACACACAACTACGTAGTTACAAGTTTTATCTGTTATTGTTTTTCTTCATTTTTTATTTGAAGAACGTGTTCATTTTATGATGGTTTCATTGTATTGTTACGTCTCCGCTTGTTAATTAACTTTCCGTAACTTCGTTCCGACAAAACTTTAGCGACACAAGTTTTTTACTTAATAAAACTGGTTTATTCTTTCCGAATACAACTTTACCGATACACTCAAATTCAACAATCGCGCTAAACAAACGCTATAACAATGAACGTGCTCAATAATACTTCTGACTGCAGATCAATTACTCACTATCTATACACACATTACCTTCCTCGCGTCATGTTTCCTCTTATATATATACCAAACTACCCTATATCTAGCAAATACTAGAGCATCCGCCAAGATACGGGATAGTTCTAGAAACGTGGCGTCACTGTAGTCATGTGATCTCGATGACGCAACAGTATGTTTTTTTTTGTTATTGTTGCTGTTACGTACGTAATTGTTTTGTCTCATCCACTGCTGTATTGTTGTTCTTATCATTACATGACAAATGTAATAAACTTAATATCGATTACTGATGAAGGTTGTATTGACCAATACTTATATAACTGTAAAAGGCTTAATTAAAGCTATTTGAATCATTTAATTAATTTTGTTTGAATATTTCCAGGATGCTCTTGGTATTTGGTTTGCGCCTGTGGTGGATGGATATTTTCTACCAGACTATCCGGAAAAGCTCATTCAACGAGGCCGGTATAATATGGTTCCTTTCATGACCGGTTTCACAAAAGATGAAGTCTCTATATGGATGGAGCACTGTAGGTTTATATTTTTCTCGGAATAATGTTTTTTCTGCTAAAATACCAGTTTCAGTAACAAAATAATAGTAGATAATGTATTGTTGTAACATTGTTCTTTCATTGGCAGGTTCTTTTAAATTATCTGGTGAAAATAATTCAATGTCAAGTCTATGTAACAATAACAAATTGGTTTTATTTCCTTCTTAAAATTACCTTTACATTACAGGCACATACATTACGTTTATAGCTACATTATCTACAGTATATTAACGTAAAAATCAACTTACTTAGACAAAGTAACTCAATATATGTGACAGCTAACAGAGATTCAAAAAATTTAAACACACTGACTAATTCACTCTGCCAGCTAGGAAACAACTGTATCTTCTTGATGCTTTATTATTTATTGCAAGCTTATTGACTGCAATTATCCATATTTATAACCTAATGCTTGTTCTAGATATTTCACGAAGTATCTCTTTCATTAATATTCCCAAATATTCTACCACTAACTTGCTCTTAACTTGAAGCGCACTCTAGCTAAATTACAAAATTAAAGATATAGCTTATAACATGTTTTTGTAAAATAATCAGTGACAAAAGTTTAAATTGAGAAACCGTGAAAACAACTTTTACTCCACATTAGATAAATTCATGCATTCTGTGTTTTCAAAGTAGACTGAACCATATAATACTGCCATTTGAGAAGTGCCACTGAGTATTTATGTAGCTTTAATCAAGTTTTCTTTGCATGATTTCATAATAAATCATGCCTCTCCTAATGAACAAAATTGAAGCAACTTCTAGTCTCACGATTGGACTGTCACATATACGATGTCATGACCAATGGTCAACAGTGATGTCAGATTATTTATGCTAGGAATTAATATTTATGCGCAAAGCAGTGTCAAAGCAGGAGAAATGCTATTGTGAACTAGAATAAATCACTAGCTACTTTTAAATAGAGATTGAGTGCATTGATATTAAAAGAGTTTTGGAGCCTCACCATATCGTTAAAGTCCATGTTGCCACATCTAGTCATGCTCTAACTTATGAACATACATCTTAACAATAGCCCTGCTGCATAGTTTCCATTCCAGTTTCTGTCATAAGACTGCTATGTCAAAAGCATATCACTTCTCCCTGATGCTTTCCATAATCCATCAAATGTACGAGGATAACAGTTTTCCACCATCCACTGCAACATGCTGATTGCACAGGAGGCTGTAGGTGCTGCATTTGCATGAATACCTACTTCATTATCTAGTTGCTTGAGGTATGAGATGGTTAAATAGGAAGTATGACTGGTAGCGCTATCTTGGTGAACCAATGTCCTGTTGACTTTGTTTCTGGAAGGGAATCTTTCTTGATTATTTTGTGTATTGTTGCCTGGATTCTCACCTGTTATGTACAAAATGCAGAACTTTGCTTACTACGGTTGGGATATACGACTTGTTGCAGGTCTCTTTCTGGATGGTCCTAGTACCCCACCTTGATCTACATTAATTTGTCATCCAATGCTATTAAATACGAGGGATATCTCCATCTTGGACATTCTAACTTCCCAATCTTAACACATCTTTATGATGTGAGTGTATGAATAGTTTGCATTGAAAAGTACTGTTGCATACATTTTCCAAAAGCAGTGAATTTTCAGTGGCATTACACTACCTAAAAAATACTAAACAATGTCAAAAAATAGTTCTGATATATGCCATTCCACTGCTACTTTATGTCAGTTGTGGTTGTCAGGTAAATTGCTGATTTGCATATATAAAATTGTACTCTGTATGGCGAGGAAATTCTAAAGACTAGAGTGGATAACACCTGGCAGCCAGTAAAGTAATAATTTGAGAAGTTATTTCCTGCCCACTGATTATTCCTTATGAAATAAAAGGTAGTTGAATTGTCAGGCAAAACTAAATTTGATGTAATTAGCAGACACTTTAATATTTGTATCATAGGTGTTTTATATTTAACAGTGATACTTGTCTATAGAAGCACATTATGTTAATACAATAACAGATTTACAAACAACAATTTATAATCATAATGAAGTAGTTTAATTTTGGGGAAAGTACTGCATATTTCAACAGACCAATGTTTTATCAAAACATGTAATATGTTCTCCAAAATAAATTTTCTTCATTATGCTTATAAATCATTGTTTGTCAACTTATTATCTAACAGTGAAGCCACATGCTATTAGCATTTGTGAAATCTTACTTATTACTTATGTTCTTAAATTTAGATCTCAAGTTCAATATCTCTTATTTAACACACTAACATCTCCCCTCCTACATTGTTTGTCATGTGCTTTCTTACTGGGTATGTCACACTTGCATGGCTTGAACATGCAGTTAGTATTTCAATCATTATGTTGAAACAGTGGGGTTGTAATCTATTATATGTTGATGAAATTAAGTCTAGTAATGTTATAATAATTTGCATATATTTCCTGAGTATAGTATACTTTGTAAGTGATCACCAGTTGGAAGTTTCATAGAGTGTTTATTATCATTTCATTTAGTTTTTTAATACTGTGGCTAAGCATATATTTTCATTTACTTGATTTATTTATTAATTCAATAGAAATTCTTTTTTTATTGGTTTAATTGTGGTTCGCATTAAATCAAATTGAAAGAAAAAAATATTTTTGTGAAGCTCATACAAACATGTTTTATATATATATATGAAAATTCAACTGCACAAACAAACATTCAAAAATGTAAAATGTGAAAGAAAACTAAATCTCAGTTTTAAAAATAAGAAGATAAAAAATGATGAATGAACAGGGATACTGCTTCACTTTTGTTTTCAATTTATTCTAGTCTATTATTTCAATTGGCTAGTTGGATGAATATTTGGTAAAAAGACCTTTCATTAAAGCAAGTGAAAGATAATGGATTGGATTATCATACTTTGTATAACTGCTTTAATATAAATTGGAAACTACCCAATAGCATGCCTGAAAAATAGGATCTTGGCATAGCAGTGAATAAATTACTCATGACATTGCGGCGATGCTCTATTGCAAGCAGAGAAACTAATATAATTTTTTTTTTATTTATAGACTTGTTGTTTACAAGTGAAAAGGGGTAATAATCTATACAAATCACTAGTTAAGCCTCATTTAGTATAATGTGTACAGTTTTGGTTTCTAAGAAAGGATATTGACTAACTGGAAAGGGTTCAGAGGAGGACTACTATAATGATCCAGGGATGGAAGTATTATCTTACGGAGAAAAGTTAAGGTCTCTTATCTTCTCTTGAGAAAAGATGGGTAAGGGGCGATCTTATTGAAGTGTACAAGATTATTTAGGGAGTCAGAAAGATAAAGGCCTCTGCATTCTTTGCAGTATGTTCCAAAGATAAAAAAACACAAATTTAAGATTTTTAAATAACAGGATAGACTCCAGTTAAGACAGTTTTATTTTTCTAACAGGGTGATTGACTTATAGAGTGAATTACTTTAGGCTGTAGTTTAGGTCAGCTCTTTACTAGAATATAAAAGTAAAATCAATAATTTCATGTAAAGTAAAGGTTGGATTTAAGTTTTTACTTGTTTTTCAAGTTTGGGTGAGAAATTACAGCCTTGAAGGATCAAATGGTCTCATGATGTCTTATGTGTTATAATAAAGAAAATGTGAAACAATATAGTTTTCTGATAAAAGATTCAAATATCCATAAGTCACTTTTGTAATAATTTATTTCTTATAGAAGAAAAATGTATAAAATGAATCCATCTTACTAAAATGAAATTTAAATATTATACAATAATTAATTTGGAAAGCAAACAAATCCAAATTGTTTTGTCCCTGTTCATTGTTCAATCAGAATATTTTCCTTTACAAATCAAATAGCAGTTTTTAAAAACAATATTGGTATGAATAGCTGATCAATATTTTTTTCTTCTAAATTTCAACAAAACTTGGGATACACCTAGTTGCTGCTTGCATTTATCATGATTTATGTATTTAAAAGTCATTACACAGTCCTGTGAAACAATAAACAGTGATATTAGTGAATATTAGATACAAGGTGCACTAGATTTTGAAGAAGCAGAAACTAATTGGGACATATTGATGTTATCTTGGACACTTCTTGACCTTCAAGTTTTATCAACCAAATATTTACCTTTTTGGAACTATGATATATGTTTAAACAACTATAATTATTTTAAGGCTGTGACATAATGATGCGCTTACCAAATAATTGACACATGTATATTACATAAATTAAAACATAAATATAAACACAACTCACCAAAGATAGATAGATAGACACTTATGTTATGTTAAAATTTTATATTCAGACGAAGATCCTGCAGAAGAGCAAGTTACCAAAGAAAAGCTGAAAGAATACTTGAAAAATATGCTGGATCCAAAAGCCGATAACTCAAACAACCTGGAGGCATTAGTTCATGCTGTACATACAGAGTATGTTGTTCGACGACATCACTCTAGTGGCTTCAACAATTCAACACAGAATGCAACAACTGCTAATATTCATACTTTGGTACAGGCAAGTAATCGAGAATTTATTTCATTGCTAGATTCTATTAAAACGTTTGTTACATAAATTAGAAAAGTAATTTCACAATCACACTGACATGTTGCTTCAGTGTACTTGATTATAAGTGTATCTTTGCACAATGAAAACTGCTGTATTGTATTTTCTTGTACTACATGTGAGAGTTTCTGAAGTGTGAATTGAAACTTCAATTAAATCTACTTATTTTAACATGGGATTTTAACTAACTCCAATTTTATAGTTTTTGGTACACTATAGCTTTTCAAATAATTTTCACTTGAGAATAAACATAATGTGTTAATTTGATGGTCATTCAGACAATATTGTCTTAATGTATTTATAAACCCATTATTTAAATTAAACTACTACTTTAAATTAGGTAGGAAAATAAAAACTTTCAAATGTTTTACGATTTGCTTCAAAAAGTGTTGGAGGCATTTGTGATATGGGGTAGGGATGTGACTGAGTGTGGGGTGGAGGACAGATCAGTTAGTTTGGTATTATATGCTTGCACATGCTGGTTTTTTGCAATGTCACCTAGCAACAAGCAGAGTTCATCTGTTATATTTTAGCAGAGGTCAAAGATTGTTTTTATAAACATCATAGTTGACTGTATTCTTGGTAGCTTACATTACACAATGCGAGATGTACTTTATGTGAGTGAGAGTCCCAATTTTGACGAATCACAAAGTCAGAAGGAAAAGCATTGGTTCAACATATGACATCATCATTTGTTCATTTGGAAATAAAGGTGGGAGAGCAACTAGTGTGAATAAGTGTTATCCAATAATCTTTCAGTATTTGTTGGACGTCCCATCATGATTATAAGTTATGTAAAAACAAAATGAACACTGGAACTTGTTTTACCTGAGATGTGAAAAAAACAGACTGGTATGACTGTAAAAATGAGTATTTATGGGCAAGATTTCTCAGTAAAATGTATTGACCCTCTTGCAGATGTTTCTGTACCCTTAAAAAATTTTAATAAGTGTTTTAGATCATTTTTCATGAATGTAATGAATATTATGTTTTCTTAATTAAACCCCTAAAATACCAAGTTCCGATTTACTATTTAAAAAAAAGTCTTGCGAAACGTCTTTGGAATACTATCATAAACCTATATGAAAAGTTATGCCTGTATGTCATCTTAGTTATAATGCACATGCAAAAATTACTTTCATTTCAAAGCATTAATGAGCTGAGTAACTAAACTAAAAGAAGTTTTGTGATATTTTATGTTTTCATCTGCATAATATGTTTATTTAATTATTTATCTTAACACCAGATCAGTTGCATTTCAGTAAATTACAATTTTTTTTTAAAACAAACTCTAAACTTTCAAATGTTTATGAGTAACTGTATGCAAAGAAAGTTTGGGTATGCTGTATAAATGAAAAATGATCTTTTTATCATTGGTAATTATACCTTATCAGGTTCAATATTTTTCAAATATTATTTCAATGCTGAAAACGATTTTTTAAGCAAATTAGTGGTTCAGTTGAGAAAATACTTTAATGATTTACCTGATATTCTAAAATGGGGCAATAAGTGGAAACATGTTGTTTTAATTTGTATATTTTAGTTTCAGAGAGAGATCTATTCCTTAAAGCCTGATTTTTAGAAAGATAATGTTGTGACTATTAACCGTAAAGCCACTGTTATGGTATAGGTAAAAGAGTAATGTAATTTCCAATATCAACTATTGGTGGGGGAGGTTAAACAACACACACACATTTATAAACCATCTCAACACATACATCATATCCATAGAAATAAACGGCATTACACTCCCCGAAATGCATGAATCTGTATGTCTAGAGTTGTTTGGGGGGTGACCATGCTTAATCCTTTTGTGCACACCCCTGAATGTCTAGTTTTTATTTAGTTATTATGATTAACAATCGTTTTTTCTTTTTACTTAATGTAACAGTTTACATATTCATATTTTATGGTTGGAGACGGCTTGAATGGGTAATGAAGAAAAACGTATATTAAAGTTTTTCTTCATTATCCATTCAAGCTGTCTCCAACCATTATTAGTCTCAAAGTAGGTTCCTCATCATCGAATTTGATATTCATATATAATTTGCTTTTTAAATGCATTGCATTTATAAATTGAAATTGGGTTTTTCAAAAACTTCATGGACACTAGTAAGTTCTTCACTGAATATGAATGTAACCAATGACACATTGGGGACACGTTAAGTCAAATAAACTTATGATTATTGAATAACATGATGAACTACTAGGTAGATAGATAATAAGGACCATTACGATAAAAGAAGATTAGACATAGCTTCAGAAGTCATGAATCTAGCAATATTCAGTGAGTAAGGCATGTGATAAGGTATAATACTGCTAAATATTAACTTAAGGACTGTATTTATATTTAAATTGATTCAGTAATTACAGAATAATTTGCTTATTCAAACTTTTAAATGATTTTTAACTCATGCAAGTTTTGATCTTTAATAATTAAACAGATCAGTCAATCTTAATCAGCTAAACACATTTATAAATGTTTTGGCAATATTTAGATTGAATTATTTCCTGACTTTAAGGAAAGTTCAAATATCCAGTAAAAGGTAAGTAAATCCTTAATCACAAGCAATAAACTATGAAGTACTTGTAGTATTTTAAAGCTTGACCCCATTTTTTGGTCTCACACTAACTATATATTTATGGGAATATTTCAAATGTATATATTTCAAATATTATACATACTTAAACAATTTGATGCCACTATGACAGTTGAAATAATTAACGTGATATTTAATTTAACTAGATAATTTTTGTTAGCTTAAAACAAATCTCACTTGATCTTCTTTCAGATTTTGGGAGATGCTGGGTTAAAAGCACCCTGTGTGAAGCATGTTCAGTTGTTAGCAAACCAGAACTACACTCCTGTTTATCTATATGAATTTACATACTCTAGCAGTGATGATTGGATAAGTAAGGACCGACCTTGGCTAGGTAGGTACAAAATCACCTGTTACTTAATGCTTGTTTCTTAAAAGAATCATTGAGATTCAGTGAGTGCCACCATGCAACCGGAGTGAAATCTGATGAGAGATTCTGATGTGTTTAAAATGTAGTTGCACAAATATGCCAAAAATAACCTTCATGTTTAAAAGAGAATCAGAACAACGTAGCTGTATATTTTATGTATTCTGTAGGAAGATATAACTATTGTAGCATAAACTTAACTACATAAATATAATTTTTTTTTTTCTTTGGAAATGTAAGCCTATTTTCACTGACCAATAAACTACAGCAATCACTGCAGGTTCTAACCATATTGTATGGGCTCTATAACATAAATCTGGACCCATGGTGATATGTTTGCCAAACAAACATATCTATATCAAGAAATTTATGATCATTATACAGGCATCCCTTGCATTACAAATGTTTGGTTTATGTTTCTTCGTTATAATGTAATTAAATTTTATGGGCATGTTTTTTGATTTGAATTCATATTTCTTGCTATTACACAAACTTACATAAAAGTTGGAAGAAACTTTTGCCCAATACAAACAGTTTTTCACTATTACAGAATTCAAATAGCTAAAAAGCTAATTTTCTGTGTTATAATATTGAAATACCTTTAGTTACTAAGCTATTTTTCACTACTACATAATTCAACATCAGTAGAGCGCTATGGACGAAATTATAAACACCGTGTCACTCCTTTATTGAGTCGTGTCACGGAACCCTCTGCTGTAAGATCTCTCTAAGCAAGCATCTTGTGCAGTGTCTGATTGTCAGTCAGCATTTCTTTTCCGTCTTGATTCTAATGTGGTGAAGTGATCCAATTTTTTATCAGTTGTAATCTACCGAAACCCTCAAGCTAAATGCCTGGTAAGAGACCTTCCTCAAGCTCAACTGTTTCCCCCTACAAAATATTCTCGCCAGGCAATAATGCTGGATCTACCTAAACCCTCAAGCTAGATGCCTGGTAAGAGACCTTCCTCAAGCTCAACTGTTTCCCCTACAAAATATTCTCGCCAGGCAATAATGCTGGACCTACCTAAACCCTCAAGCTAGATGCCTGGTAAGAGACCTTCCTCAAGCTCAACTGTTTCCCCCTACAAAATATTCTCGCCAGGCAATAATGCTGGATACAAAAATGGGCATAAGAAAAATGTAGTGAAATTTTGGTTCAGGAATGCATCCTCCATTTTTTACCTTTAAAATAAAAACATATTCTCCAAGAAAATATTCCTTTCGTAAATTGAGGGATACCTGTACATAAAACTAGAGTAAGTAATATTAATCACTTCAGAACAATTATTAAGTTTGCTAGCTGTAGAAATTTTCAAGAAAGGAATCTATATTTTCAGTTGCTAGGATAGAATGGAGAAATACCAATTCCAAAAATATTTCTCTGAATATTACTTATTCTGTAAATAAATCTTATTTTCAGGAGCATACCATGAGAGTGAGATGTACTATATCTTAGGTTACCCACAACTGGCTGTCAAGAATGCTTACCGAACCCTAGAAGATCAAGCTGTTAGTAATTTGCTTGTCAAATTGTGGAGTAACTTTGCTAAATATGGGTAACTTTTGTTTTTCGCTTATATATTCAGTAAACCACACATCGGAAAAGAAAAAAAAATTAACAAATGTAATAAAACTAGGACAGTGGATTTATGCTGCATGTTGATTTTAAACTGGTTGCTCAAAATATAATTGTGAATAAGCTTTGAGTAAATGTTTGATATGTGACTTCATTCTATGACCTGAAGCTTATGTTTTTTAATGGAAACCTCAAGTTTAGGTTTAATCTTAGATAATAACCCTTGACAGAAGTTTTAGCCAAGTGGTATTTTCAGGTGAAACTAACATAGTTTTCTCTAAAAAATTTGTATTTATTGTCCAGAAGGTTCTTAAAAATACCAGAAAGCCATTATGGCTACCAAAATAAGTAACTGAATGGGATTCTAGAGCATTCTGCTATGAATCTAGCACTGGTTATAATGTCAAGACATCCCTGACTGAATTCTTGGATAAAATGGCTGTCTTCATTCATGCACAAGGTGCAGCTTTACAGCTATACTCCCCCCACTCATGAGTAGACTAAGTGATATCTCAAGAGAATGAAAAAGAACAGTGGCAACTAGAATGAAAGCAACTTAATGACTGTCTGGACCATGCGTTATGACAAAACTGCACATATCAGAATAACCGACAAATTTTGAATGATACACTATTAAAATAAGGAGGTCGAAATTGCATGGTATACTTATATACCACAGCTATAAGACATAGTTTAGTGTTTATTTTTCTAACCTCATGTTGCAAAATTATTTATAAATTAAATGTTACATTAGTGTCAGTAAAAGAAAGTACGAGTACGTACCAAGATATTTCCTCAATCTTTGAAAATTTCACTGAGCATTAATGTAAACATTAGTTATAAGTAAAATGTATCTACCAACTTATGGTGAACAATTTTTTGTTCTAAACAAGAATTAATGTGATGATATTTTCAGAAATCCAACACCAAAGCATTATGATGTCCAGATCAATTTTACATGGCAGCCATACACTAAAGATGAACCAGTCTATGCTGACCTAGGAGAGCAAGCCATAGTGAAAATAAGTGATCATATGAGCAGCATGAATTTCTGGATCAACTTTGTTCCACTGTTTACTGACTATCCATTGAAGAATGACAGAAGAGTTCAGTGTAATTTGACAGTTTTTGTGATGACTTCCAGCTTTCTGGGACTGACATCTTTTCTCTGCATTACCCTTATTCTATATGCTTGTATCCAAAGAAGACATCGCCCTGGTGTTGTTTTGAAAGATCCCCCAACATCAGTGTGATAAGATAGATAACCAGTTACTTCCTATGTTAAAAGCTAATGAACACACACTCAGACAGGGGCATTGCTGGGCACTGGGACCATAGGGCCTGTAAGACAGGTGTATTTCACAGTTACACAAATTTATCTTATGTAACCTTTAATATACTACATTGCAATTATTTTTTGATTATTCTCAGTAGTAGCCACTTCTTGGAGCCCAAGCCCCAATCCTTTCAGTAGCCAGTAATGCCCCTTCACTGAGATATTACAAGAAGTGATTTAATTTAATACCCTATCTTTAAGGGTTTCACCTCAAAACTACAACCAAGCTAGTTTTAACTTCCATTAGATAATGATCCTTCCAATGTATATAAGGTACAGTTAATATTTCTTTTAATTAATAGATGTAGTTAGACCTTACGATTGTTATAGGTGATTTAATTCAACTTCTTATATTTCAGAATATTACCACAAACAAGTTACAACTGATGTGGTTACAAAAACGTTTTGTTTAAAGATATCAAAAGAAAAAAGTCACAACTAATCTGCTATTGAATATAATATTGGCATACAAGTTCTCTTACCTATAATAACAGTGGAATTGATACCCATATAGTATTTAAATACTTTTATTTATAACAATCAGAAAGTTTATTTACACTAAAAATAACTCATATTTACAGTAATTTACTTAATTATTTCTAAAGATCAAAATGTTTAAACTAATAATGAAAAACTCATTTCTAGAGTAGGATATCTAGCCTTAATTACATTTCATTTTAACACTAAAATATTTTAAATACAATTAAAAACACCACTTTTAGAGTAGAACGTTCCAACATAATTACTATTTTTATCAGCCACATAGTCTAATATGTATGTACGTAGGATAAGAACTCATGATGGTTTATAAGTTAGGTAAGCAATTACGTTGTTCTTCTTGGTAAAAAAATCTACCAGCAGTTCAATCTCTATACTTTTATATTCTGGAATTAGAGGTTTTATTATCACTTTAGCTTCCTGTTAGTGATTATAACAAAACTACGTATTTGTGTTGCTTGTTGTCATGGTTAAATACAAATGTGAAACACTTTTGCTCTTTTACAAAAAAAAAAAAAAGATAACCAACTAAGGGCCTGCTGGGAAAAAAAAGCTTCCATTGCTATTTTTTTATAGACTTTAAGAAAGGCATAGCCTGTCCTGCCATTGTTACTCTGACATTTGTGTTTCCATATTAGAAAACTGTAGTGTAAAAAAAATCAACTTCTAATGGTACAAATGTTTTTTTTTGTTGGAAGAAAATATGTGATCCTTCAGTTTCAAAACTGATGGTAAAGGAATATTACCAATTTTTTACTTGATTCTCCTCTTTCATGCACTAAAACAAATCCACAAAAATACAAAAGCTATCATAAATTGATTTGATTTTTATTACCAATTTAAAGAAATACTATGATTATTGTTTAAGTAAAACAGTTTCTGTTGAGTACGTTTATACTTCGTAAGTTTTGTCCTTTTTTCTTTATCATAATATGTTTCAAAGAATTGTTCATATTTTACATGCTCACTGATTTATTTTTTCAGATAAATTCACTTAATTATGCTGGAATGTTATGTTTCTTATTTAACTTATCAAATTAAGAATCCATTTCATGAAATTTCTGATCAAAATAAGGTTCCATGCAGTACTAACCATCCATACACACATAGAAAGAAAAACACGAGAGTAAATACTATAAAAATAATTTATATTGTTGGGCAGGTTATCTTAGAGTATTCAGTAAAAAAAAGGAAGAATTGTTAGTGTTGTCCTGTTTATGATGATAAAGATATTTTATTTATTTCACAATATATAATTTCTTGATACAACAGTTTCACTTACCTGCTAATTCTCTCATACATATTGTAATTCTTACAAATTGAACTAACTGACTAACAGTAACAGACAAACTGACTAATAAACGTTAACTCAGAAATCAATCATCCACTGTAACAGACTCACAAATCAATTATAATTTATTCTAGCCTACCTCTCATTTTATAATGCCCAAGTCATTTCCTAAGTCTTCAAGAAGGATCTAGTCATAGGCCATACCTATCATATGGCTGTCCTGCCAGGCAACAATACAAATGAACATTTAAAAACGTAGCCAACAACAGCAAATTCCTTACATATAAATGCTTTTATTGAATTCAAGTGAGATTTAGGCAGATTTTATGCTGATTATTGTGCAACATTCTTCAACAAACAAACTAAACATTTATTTACTATTATAACCGCCAACAAGAAATTATACAATATAGACGTGTTCACTAAACTAACGCAAAATCCTTAAGATTACTCAAAAATAAAAGTTAGTATATAGATAATAGAAATAGCAAAAAACTTACACTTATCTGCACATATTAAAGTAAGTTTAACCTAAAATCAAACTGGGCTGGGTGTGGCCTGGTGGTTAGCATATTCTGATTCTAAAACCTTGAGTTCTTGTTTTGCTGTCATAAAAACATCCTCCATACTTTGTGGCTGTGGGTGCACTAACATGAGTGACACCCAAATCCCACTTTTAAGTCAGGTAACAGTAGCCTAAGAGATGGTTGTGCTTGCTGTTGACTACAGTTGCCTTTCCATTACTCTGTCTCTAGTCTATCAGATCAAAATTATGGATCACTAAGCATAGAAAGCCATTTGTGTAGCTTTGTTTGAAATTCTGAAGCAAACAAAACCAAAACTACTTGACAAACAGATTTATCATTTCTACATTTTAGCTAACAATACATCGTGTTTATTAATTTGAATACATACATACCTTAGAAGTATAATTAGTTGGTTTGTAAAACATCTTAGTAAAATGCAACAAGAATCTAGTTGCTTAGCTTTAAAGTCAAATATGAAAAAGAATGTTTAAACTAAATCAACATTACTACTGAACCTTGTCAGCCTATAAAAATAAAAAACCCACAAAGTCATGTGTTTATACAATCATGTGGCATTGAAACCCAAGGTTGTACATTACAGTTAACATATGCACAATGTGTCATCTGCTTCAACATTTTGTACTAAGCTAGTTACAATACAACTTCTGTCATCAAGAAAGAGCCCTTCAGATTCATATAAAGACAAAATTAAAGCCACTAATAAAAGTTCTTCCACAAAATTATCACAGTATCCTCTTCCTATATATACAGAGGTTAGCCTCAGTATATCCATGTCAACATATTTTGAACTGTGTATATCAAATGACTTAATTTTCAGTCAGACCAAATTACTGGTGAACTTGGTGATAATTGTATCATTTGTCTCAGTTCTTCATAGCTACAAGTTATTTATCTCACATACTAGTTACAATTAATCAAAACATTTTTGATTTTAAAATGTATTGATCTCATCCATCATACTAAAATATTGCTGATACTAAAATAATGTAATGTACACTAATTTTGTAAACATGTTTTTATAGTAGATCACTATATCTTAAGGTTTAGTATTTTTTATGATAGAAAAGGAGTTTAAAGATGATGAAAACTTTTTAAAGTTGTTAATTATGTGGCTATGACTTAAGTTATGCCGCATTGAGATATCTGTAGTGTTTGATGAGCATAAAAAACCACACTTATGGTTGGATTGATTACCCCAAAGCACAGATTAGCACAGTTTAAAAATAACTTCTAAGAATTTCTTTACAATAGAGGTTCTCCTATACAATGAACCTCAAAGAAATACTCTTAATTTTGTCAAAAACATCCAGGGTCATCTTATACACTGGCAGATACAGTAACATGAATGTAATTAACACTGAAAAAACAAAATTAAATTGATTAATTAAGAAATCAATAGTAATATTCATCCGTGATAACATAAAAATAAATCAAGTAATAGTGTTTTATTAAAGAAACGTATTACTGCTTATAGTCCGAAGAAAAATAAAATGTATACTTCAAAACAAAGGGTATATAAAATATATAAAAATACCCATCAATCAACGTTGTATAATATATAATTAAAATTTTATTTTAAAACCAATTGATGATCATAAAAAGGCACTCTACTTGTTTCAATGTCATCCTCGGGAGTGTGAAAAGCGGGTGAAATTCTCCAAAACAAAAAGTAGAGGTACTCAGCTGGGTGAAGTGGACCTGTTTTTGAAAAAGAAAATTTATGTGTAAAGATAAAAAATGACAAAGCAGCTCAAATAAGTCCTGGTACTAGTATCACCTTAAAAAATATATTCTGTTACTCAGTACCAGTGAGTACTGGCAGAATTGGTGAAAAACAAATGCTAGGCAATATATAAATACAAAAACGCCATGGTCATGTGACTACTAGTTTACATATATAAAAAAGATCATGCCATCTACTTATTTTCTGATTTTCTAACCCTTCATCCTTATTTAAGATGAAATTATTTTTACTATCTCATTATTTCTATGGTTTCTCTAATATTTCTAGTCATTATATTATTTGGTTGAGGCACAATAAAAATTTTTTTCCCACTGGGTGACATGACCAGTATAATTTGTATTTCAGCTAGTGCAGAGTATTCATTTTTGTTTTTAACATTTCTCTTATGTTCATTTACTCTAAATTTTAAATTTCTTATAGCTTGACCATTATATACACTACCACATTCAATTTTATAAATACCCGTTTTCTCCATTAGATTGACTTTAGTTTTATTTAGTATTTGACTAATTTTATTCAATGGTCTACAGATGGGAATAAGATTTTTGTTTTGTTTTTTAAGTTTAAAAAAAGTTTGACAAACCTGGGACATATGGTAGAAACAACATTTCTGTTTTGTCAAATTTTAGTTTACTTTTTTGAACATAATTTATATGTTAAATTTTCTCACAGCTGTATCAACAATATGAGGTAAGAAATTATTTGACAACTACTATTGTGAGATTTGTTTGGAGATTTTCTTTGCTGAGCTCTGTACTGGCCTATCTAACAGAATTTTGTGTTTAAAATAGTAGGTTTGGGAAATATTTTTGCTATAGAGACAGCAATATACTTGAATTATTTTTGTATTGGTAAGAGACAGTTTTCTTCTGTATGTTGGATTTTGAAACATAAATCACCAAAACTTGACATATAAACATCAGGGCTGTATTACAGGCAGGGCAGCTGCCCAGGGCCCCCAAGAAGTTAAAAATTATGTTGGTCCTTGGCCCATATTTTCCTGATGAGTAAGATAATGATGCTGCCATTATTTATCACATATTTCAAAATGATGCTAAGAACCTTTAGCACTTGGATACAATATATGATGCAGCGGTTGTGGATAAAAGGTTTACAGATGCATTAATTCTCCATTATAAACTGAAGGTACAAACTCAAATGACATTGTTTTTAAACAAGTATAATCATTATTCTAAAGAGGGACCTAGTTTTTCAACACTTGTCACAAAAGTGTGTTGGGTAGTAGAATCAATAAATGGTCACATAAAGTGGTGAAAGCTACTAGGCAACCTTCAGTTTCCTTTTACAGAGAAAATTGTCAGTGTTCTTTGCATCTCCTCTTATATGAACACTAAAACTGAGACATGCTCAAACTGGTAAAATAACTTGGTAATCTAAAATTTTGGGGAAGTCTTTCAAAAATACAAAATGTATTTTCCAACGTTATTTAAAAAACATTATCTATAGTTTTCTTTGAAAAAAAGGTTGTTAAATGAACATTTTATAAAAAGAAGCAGAAGAAGACTATCTTAGAAATATGGAAAAAAATTATATAGTTCCAATATTTCTATTTCCTTCTAAGTTTGTATGTTTCTCAAACGAGTTTGCTCATATAATAATTTTAATGAAATAAATCAGCAACTATCACACAATGTGTGATGGCTTTTGATCTCAAACATTTCCACTGAGCCATCGGTGGATGATATATATATATAGAGAGAGAGAGATAGCAAGAAAAACTTGTAAATAAACAAATACACTGTTATGAACAAATTTATATTTCATGGTTTGCTTTTTTTGCTAATATGACTCATTTAAATCCAAACTTTTAGAAGAAAGTTAGATCGAGAATCATACTTGTCAGGAGTGGGATTCGAACCCACGCCCGGAAGACCGGACTGCGACCTGAACGCAGCGCCTTGGACCGCTCGGCCATCCTGACGACGAAAAGATTTTTTATTTATTACATTAATAATATTATTAGTATAGAATTTTTGAAGTTTTAAATTACTCGTTCTTACAGTATTCATAATAGCACCAAATACAAAATCTAACAAGTACAACTACATAACCCACATTAGCGACGTGCTAAATAGATAACAGAAACAGACAATTTTAACGATTTGCTTCGTATGGGTTAGCAATACGTTGATCGATAGATGAGCGTCTAAGAGGGTGTTGTTTCTGTCGTATTTTTGAAGATGAATTTATAGTGTATATTGTTTGTGGAAGTTTTGCGCAAATCTTTTCGTAAGTTTTCTGCACTAGTAGTCCGTAATAGACTTGGGAGAAGGTAGTTAGTCAACAATACCCATCGCCAATTCTTGGGCTATTCTTACCAACGAAGAGTAGGATTGAGCGTCATTAAACTTCCATAACCACCGGGCCCAACAATGTAACAGAGCGAAAAGGTTTTTGATGAAAAGAGAGTAATTTAACATGTAATTTTTATTATCAGTTGAGTTTTAACACTTCCATTTTAATTTTAGCATATTACAAATTAAATGCTCCCCCCACTGGTACAGCAGCATGTCTGTGGAGTTACAACGCTAGAAACCGGGTTTCAATACCCTTGGTGGGCAAATCACAGATATCCCATTGTATAACTTTGTGCCTAACTTCAAACCAAACAAATTAAAGTGTATAAATTATTATCAATGGATCACAACAGAAATAGCACTGTCTTTTATAAAATTTTCATTTTCACAAGGTAGGCCTTAGTGGCTTCTTGTGATCAGTATTTGTATACTTCTTTCTTTTAGTCTGCTATGTTGCGTAAGAAGGCCCGGCATGGCCAGGTGGTTAGGGCGCTCGACTCGTAATCTGAGGGTCGCGGGTTCGAATCCATGTCACACCAAACATGCCAACCTCCGCCTTTGCCTGGTCCCAAGTCCAGGATGAAAAAGGGAGATGGTTGGGCGCGGGGCTAGCAACTCCACCCCGTAAAAACCAACCTGCTACAAGTAACTGCAACAACACCTTCCTGTTGGCGAGGTGGTGTTGCGGCCCTATGCTCCACTGGGAGTTTACAGTAAAACAAAAAACAATGTTGCGTAAGAATACAGTATTTCGTTTTTAGTACACAAAATCGAAAATAAAGGAATATGCTGGAATGGGGAACCTAGTTATAGCACAAACTTCGATGATTATGAAACGTTTATTTTTAACTAGGAATTATTTAGAAATCACCCTTCACATTGAATGTTGAAATTATCTAATAAATATATCCAACATTTATTTTCCTAATATATCTTTGAATTCTATAGCTCGAATACCATACAGTTCGTGCACATTTCCTGCAAATAAAAAGGAAAAAAGACATTCATTAAACAGTTTCTTCTTCTTCATAGGTATTTGTCCATGTATCTGCTCATAAAGCCTACTGCATATCTCTTCATAACCTGATAAGTTTTGAAACCTCGGAAATTTGTCAAAAAAGGAAACGTCCACAGTGTCAGCCAGGCTCTTTAGAATGTTGCTTCTTGTGCCAGACACATCGTTCTTTTTTTTTGTCGTTTGATCAAGCAGTAGGCCGGCCTAGACCTAAGTAATGACGACTACATATTTTACATTTGAAAGTTTTATTTATCTTATCGCTGACGATATTCTGACTTGATCTTCTCCAAGTCTTTGTGAGAGTTTGAATTAATGTGTCTTTCAACATCACAGAGACCTTGGTGCTTGCAGCTGGCTGAACGGTTATTCACTGTGCATAGAAAATAATTCTTACTGGACGATTTAGGCACATTGCATGGGTACTTCTTTGTCCATTCTGGATTGAATTTAGTATTATACTTTGCAGCACTTTAATATTTTGGTAGTTTGGGTTGTTTGGATGTTGATGGACGTCAGATACCTAAACGCTTTCACTCATCTTGTTTACTAGATTGACAACAAATGGCGTGCGCTTGGTTGTATGTAATAGTTCGTTTCATTGGTTATCAGGTGAAAAAAGAATCAATCACTTGACGCAATACACAGCATAGCAACTGTCTCTATTATAGACTGGAAAAAAAAGTGTTCAAAACTGGTAAAATACAGGTCTATAACAAAAACATTATTATTATTTACAACGTTTTTGTATCCTTTTTAATTTCTAAAATCCAAATTCTATCACTTTAATACTTGTTTCACCAGATCACCCGATGTTGTTGATATGGCCACTGATATAAAGGCTGATGTAATCAGGGAGGAATTTAGACCTTTTGTGTCTATTGGTGTTTTTGACAAGTGATACTGGCAATCCCATACCCATATGTATTCTATGTGATACTGGGGGCGACTCAATCATTGTTGTTAGAAGGTCTATTGCCTTTAGATTCGAGTTCTGCCACTGGTGAGTCTGTTATTGCTCAAGGTATTGAGAGTGACTTTGTTAATATTCCTCTTCATTACATTTAATTAGCATCAGACTTAGTTTCGGGACCAGTTGTGGTTGGAGTAAGACCAACTCTGCCAATTAAGGGTGTATCATTGTTGTTGGAAAACGATTTGGCTGGGGGAAAAGTTGTTGCCAAACCTAAAATGGTTAGTGAGCCGATCACTGTTTTGTCTAAGGATGATGTTGTCATTGAGGAGAATTCTGATGTGTTTCCCTCGTGTGCTGTGACTCGAGCTCAGGTTAAGAAATTCAGCCAAAAAACAAATGATAGACATGGATTCAGAGGACGATATTATAGATTTGTCTCAAACATTTTTTTGGATCCGACGAGGATTTTGTGGATAATTGTCCTACTAATGATTCCTAGGTAAGGGATAACAATGGACGTGAGGGATCTGATTCACTTAGTATGTTCCATTTACTAAAAGTAAATTGATACTGAGCAAGAAAAAGATCTGCAAATCTCTTCACTATTTAAATATGCACTTCTGAAAGACGAATTTGAGAAAGTTCCAAATGGTTATTTTTTTCAAAATGGTGTGCTTATGAGGAAATGGAGACCACCAGATGTGCCAGCTTCGGAGGACTGGGCTATTGTTTATCAAATCGTTGTTCCCAAAGCATATCGTTCTGAAAAAGTATTGGAAGTTGCTCACGAACTCCCCATGGGAGGTCATTTAAGTGTCAACAAGACATGTGACAAAATTATGAGACACTTCTTTTGGCCAAAAATTAGGCAAGACGTTTCTCAGTTTTGCAAAACTTGTAATATCTGTCAATTGGTCGGAAAACCTAATCAGAAAGAAAGAAAAAAGACTGTTAAATTGCAGTTTATCATACAAGAGTATGGTTTGAAGATAATCCATGTCATAAGGGTTGATAACATTTGTGCCGATGTACTTTCATGTACTATGTAATTTTATGATCATAAGGTTATTTGTATTGGTTGTATTCTATACTGTAATTATTATTGAAGTTGTATAATACTTTGGGTAATGTATTGTATATAATGTATTCTTGCCAATGTATGTGTATATATATAATATCTTAGTTAAAAATTTGCGTTAGACAATTTTTAATTCTCTAAGGAGGGAGTTGTAACGAATTTGTTATTATATATTTATTTTAATATCAACGTTTGTTTGGATTAAATTTACATATAGAAACATACACGGCTTATACTGTTAGATATGTATTGTGAAAGTCCCACCTATTCTCCAAAGTTGTAGAAGATTCTCAAGAGTAAGAATCAACAATATGTGTGTATGTAAACGCTTGTGTTAGCGCCAGTATTGTTACATAGAACTGAAATTTCTAGAAAACCTCCACACGCCTATAAATATAACCAACGCGACGCTATAGTTCTCTATAGTCAGTGTGCTACAAACTTTGGAAACTATAACTGTAATTGTTATAATGCTTATCAATCGGAAAACTTCAGATAGTTGACCAGAAGCATTTACAAAGTTCAAACATTACAACTCGTTTAACTTCAGTGGATTCTCATCGGACATTAGTATTTTTACGAAAACATTACATAATGTCACGGTGGAAAACCCGGTGTGTGTGGCTGATAAATAACGAAGGACAAAGCTAGCTAGCTTCCCGTTAAGTGAATTATACCTATGTGAATTCGTAATCAACTCGCTCATCGTGAACCCTCGATAAGATATTAAAGAAGTTCCAGACTAGAAAGAAAACTTTATATTGTTTGTAAGTTTGTGAAACTTTTGTTTATAAATGATTGTTTGTAATAACTGTTATTGTAAATCGTATTGTTGTGTGTATATTAAAACGTATTTGTGTTAAAAAAGAAAACTATATCAATCTTGTCGGCAAATATCATAAACTGAATATATATCGGCTTTTACTTAACTACTAAATCCAAAGAACAATTTAACTACTAAATTCAAAATATCATTTAGCTCAATTTCAGACCATTCGAAATTTTAATACGTGACATCAACAAGTAGCTAGTTGAAAACAACATAGCTAGAAGGGTTAAGTGGCTTGTTTGTTTGTTTGTTTTCTAATTAAGCACAAAGCTACACAATGGGCTATATGTGCTCTGCCCACCACGGGTATCGAAACCCGGATTCTAGCATTGTAAGTCCGCAGACATACCGCTGTGCCACTGGGGGGCTGGTTAAGTGGCAGAAGTCAAGTTTGGTTACAACAGCCCTCTGCCCTAAAATTACCTTCAGATGCATAGTGTGAGAATTATATATATTAAAAAAAACACTTAGTGGACAAGCTCTATATATGTCTACAGGCTTACATGTACCCATGCTTGGCTGGTCTGTAAAGTACATCAGAGCTGACGATATGGGTGAGGGGGGCAAGGAGCAGCTGACCCAAGGGCTGGGGCCTGTTGAGGGGCTCAGCAGTGGGATATTTCAAAGCTTACTACAAATGCATACTACTTAATGAACTAAAATGGCTACTGCTTTTTTCATGGATTCATGAAGAAATTTGTCACCTAAATTTCTTTTATAAAAAATCAGCAAAGTTAATAAATAGAATGAAAGAGGGGTCCGATGACGTTACTGACCCCAGGGTCTGAGCTGGCTCTCGACGCCCTTGAGTATGATTTATAATAAGTGCAGACATTGGGTACACCAAATTCACATTTGTTATTGTCAGGTTTTATGTATGGGTCGGATTCTTTACAGTAGGTGTCTGTGACTTCTTGGCGATAAATTTCAACAATAAACAAACAGCACACAGTCCACTTGTTTTAAAATAATATATTAAAACAAGTCAAACGTGTATACAAATGTTCGTTGCATTGTTGGTTATTATAGTTGTATCCAGAGCTTTAAATAAATAATTGTCTCTTTTTCGTCAAAGTCCACATAAGCTGGTTCAATTACTTTAGAACACAATTTGATAAGATGGATTCTTCTTCTTTCTCTGTTATTAAAATATAGTGTGTAATAATTTTGCTTTAGAAATGGCTACTATACGCTCTTTATCGCTAAACTCGCAATTATGCAGTCAAGATCTATCTTTATCGAACTAAATTTCCGATGCGTATTTATATCCCGACAGAGGACTAGAATGTTACACACACCACTAGATATTATGGTACAATAATAATCAATTAAAACAATGAGAAAAACTCAGAAAGCTCTGGTAACATGACGCAATAATATAACAATCACCAGTTCATAACTAATTAATTACACAATGTATGATTTGTAAATTGTTACGTAAACATACCTGCGATAAACTGTTGCTTCTAAAAAAATAACTAAATTTAACACTCGCATTAAACTTAAACTGAAACAGTTGTGTATTTCTAACAAACACATAATTACAAATACATAAGTTTCCAATTCAACACTTGCCATATATGCACTAGTGTGCTATTACCATAGCAACCAAGTTAGGCTACTCTCGTAAAAGTTGGTAGTTATTGTTCAGTAACACACTGCTCCTGTGAGTGGTGAAAATTACAGTGTTCTAGAGGTCTCACAGAATAAATAATTATTGGCAGATATAGCTGAATTAAACTATTCATCCTTTTTATCACCAGAATTAATATTCGCCCTATCGTTATCCTCATATTGTAATAATCACTCTAATAACCAAATATGACTAAATACTATTGTCCACAGTAAATGTGCTTTCACTGACTGGAATGAATGCCAACCATGGACCATCAGGACACTGTATTGCCTTACATAAGTTGCCATGCTCGTGTTGGTTGGTATCACAAGAGAGTAAATATGAGAGTAACCTTTGTGAAATAAGATCTGTTTCTTTGAAATTCATAGTCATCCAATTAATTTTCTGTGTCAGTAAATAACATAACTCCATTACTACACATGGAGTAGTTATACACATAGTTAAGTGCATTGGTGACAGTTTCTTTAGATCACTCTGTGGTCAGTTTGGGAGAACTGCTGCTACTATTATAAGGCTGAGTAGTTTTTTATAAATAGTCAGACTGCTGTTTTGAAATGGAAAATCACTCGATAACTTGAATAAGCAAGGGTTGCAAAGCCCTTTCAGTTATTGGTTTCTTTGCCAAATAATGGCCTAGCTGTAATATTCAAGTGGAAAATCACACAATGCAGTGCATACATTGTAATATAAAATAGCAGCTGATAACTTAGAAAGTAACGATTGCTACTTCCTCTCAGTCAGTGATTTGCAAATAAGCGATTGCCCTAACTTGGGGTGATCAAGTGGTTGTCCCAAAATGCCACCCATGCATTTTATCAGACTAAATCACTCACTAGCTTAGAGAGCAAGGGTTGCTCCACTTTTTCAGTAATTGGTTTCTCATCCAAATGAACATCCTAGCTGGCTTGTTATCTCAACCAAATGATGAGAAGCACATCTTTGTCTCAGCTGACTATTACAGCCATAATACTACTCCTTCTTGACCACTTGATTTAGCCAAGTACTGGCCATGTAGATTCCGTATGACACTGCTTGTTCCTGAATCTGTTTATTGTAGAACATTTCAGGACGTGGTCTAGCCCTTCCATAGCTACTCTCTTATATATTTGGGGAGACATCTCCTTTGTGGACTTGCATGGTTTTGATACAGATTTCTCCCTGGTGGACTTGCAGTATATCCCAGATGGAAAGTTTTGTATGATGGAATACCAATGAGTGGGCAAGCGCTAGGAGTTCAGTACTTGGTCGAGTGTTAGATCCTGATCCTGGGGTCACAGAAAAATGAGATACAGAGAGTATCTCGCCTATCCTGCGAGGTCTCACATTGCTCTGAGAGACTGTGGTTGCCCTGACAACTCCAATTCTATCTTAAGGAAGGCATCTCATAGATCCTTCATTTTCACCTCTGAGTGTTGATGCTAGATTTAGTTGATTGATTCATGCTAAGCGTTAAGCTACACAATGTAGAATCTGTGCTTTGACTATGACGGGTATCGAAACCCGATTTTTAGCGTAGTAAGCCTGTAGACTTACCGCTAAGCCACTGGGAAGGGGGCTGCTTTGTTTGTTTTAGAGCGGAGCTACATTCTTCCGTGTTTAAAACCACGAGAAATCGAGTCCCAAATTTTAGGGTTTGTAAATCCGTAACCACCCGTTGTCATACCAGGGTACGGGGGGCTGCTGTTGATGGAATAAGTATATTCTGAAACATTCGTCTCATATAAATAAAATGTTTTCATCCTAAAAACTGTGTTTTCTAATTTTTGTGATTATATTTTTGAACTTTGTAAAAAGTTATGGAATTAAATGTTGTTACTTACCGACTTGCGATAACTTAATCTAATATGCGTATTTAAAGTACAATATTTATAATTTATTGCGAAATATTGCACAGATGGAACACAAATCATATCAGATTACCTTTAGCGTGATCACGTGAGCAAATAAATGCATGTCTAGGATTTATATAATTCTGTAGCAATTGAATCGTAGGCACTTCCATTAGCGCCATCTTTGAATTGAGAATACCGGCTAAGTTTTAGCGTATATAAACTGATGTGTTAATTTCCAGATCAACGTTGTTTATACTTTTATTGGGCCCGAGATGTCTGTTATTGGGAGTATGTTAAGTGTTGGTGGTACAAAAACTTCAGGCGAATCTGTCAGAACTCAAAATGGTGAAATATTTTATTATTTATCGTACCTATTTCGTATTGTAGTTGTACTAAGTTGTAGTTAACTTGTAAGTTACAGAGAGATGGTGTTATTAATATTACTGTGTTTATTAGTAAATCAAAATTAAATTTTGTCTTTGAAGTTTGAATTTGGCTGTACAGTAGGATAAAACTTATAGGATTATAAGTTTAGATTTGATAACAAAGTCTGGAATCCACTTTTAGACTAATAAAGTTTAGAGACAGGTGGAATGGGTAATAAACAAAACTGTTACAACGTTTCGAGAATGTTTTGTCATTATCAGGTACAAAACTTAGCTTTACACTTACAATTAACTGCCTTCACTAGCCTTCAGTTCAGGCGAGCTGTGTGCTGTGAATAGTGGAATACTCGACTTTGGTAGTAACGGCACAGTGAAGAATATTCGAGAAATTAAACTTCGATAACTTTATAATCGATAGTACTGGAGGCATTTAAGTACAGAAATAAAAAAATGGTAAAATTATTCCGCTCTGAAGCTAAAATTACACAACTAACTAGTACTAATGTGTTGTACCTAATATAAAGTAATGTTGTTGTTATTATTATAGTAACAAATATTAGTTGTTTTTGGGCAAAAAAGGTTAACCTTTAATGGTTTATACTTAAGTTCTATAACTAAAATTATAATAAAATCATTCTAAAAATGTCCTTAAAGTAAGGTGTTTTCACAGCCTTTAAACCTTGTTGCCATGTCTTTAAAAGTATGTTTGTAAATGCTGCAATTTTATTGACTTGAAAGTTGAAGAGGAAATTAATTTGAAAAAAAAAAAAACACACTTAATTTCTCATACAGTAGAGCTTCTTGGTCTAAAGAAATTAATGTTAAAACTATAACTTTTAGCATAATCTGTCATGGTAAGGCCTTTAATTGGTATTTTTGAAATATTTCAAACTTGAAAATTTCTTAAGGTTTAGAAAAATGCTAATAATAATAATTAATAATAAATATAATGCTACTGTAGTATTTATGTCTCGAGACCTTAAGATGTGGACATATGCCTATATTTTGCAGGTTAATGCAATTCAGAGTTTACTGTTTGACAATTTGCTGAAAGTGTGAGAATGTATATCTGTAATAATAATAATTTTACTTATTAGATTTTAAATTAAATATTGTCATTTATTTCACTATACCAGACTATAATACAACACATACTTGCATATAATAAATTTATTATTAGAATTATATCTGCTGCCTGCCAACATCAATTTTAAATTTTCTGTATATTCTCATAAACAAATTCCAAATTCATTGAGTAGTAAGTTTCAAGTGGTTCATTAGACTGTGAGGTTAAAGGTAAGTCCTTTTGTTCTAATAGTTTGACTTGTGGTCCCTTTTTAAAAAAAGGTGATCTGTAATATTATAAGTCATGAAATGTGTTTTTTCTTGTTGTTTGAATTATTATATATTAGAAGAACATTTCTAAGGATAATTTTAGAAATGCATTTTCTTGTTTCACAATTTTTATAGCTGTTTGGTAAGATGTTTGATTTTGTTCTTGAAGGCAACCTTTTTTGATATAAACCTTGCTTTTATAAAGTTCTATACAAATAGTTATTTCTGTGAATTTGGGGAAGAAGCTGAAAGTGGACAGAAAATTAGCTTTTTTTTATGGTAGGAAGTATGTTGTGGTAAATGGTTAAAGGATATCACTATCGTGTTTCATCTTCAGTGGCTTAGAGGTGAACTTGAGTGCTTATAATGCTAAAATATGGGGTTCAAGAGAGCTTATTGTGTAGCTTTGTGATTAATGCAAACAGCCTATTGTGTTTCCTCAAATACAGTTCCTTTTAGGATTCACTTTTGGGCTCAGATTTTAGTACATTTGTTGTAATTAAACATTCTTGAGTTATGGCACACTTTGTCAGGTACTTTTCAGTGTGTTTAAAATAAATGGTAGACAACATGAGATAATTTGGTTCTTCAGGGTTGCTCTTTTACACCCACTCTTGGGAAAATAAAACTTTAAACATACCTTTTACTTTTCAAAAAATCATTAACTCCCCTCCTAAGTTCTTGTGAAGACTGGCCTCCAATACTGCTGAAGACAACCCATTCCACAAATCAATCATCTTGTTAGAAAAATAAAAACCACCATTACTGGAGCCTAGACTGTCTTTTCCAAATTTTATACTAATGTCCTTTCATCTTTGTATCTTCAGAATATAGCATAAATAATTCAGAATCTTTTCTCCTGTTGTTCCCTCCATGTAATTTTGTACATTTCAATGAGGTCACATCTTATGCTTCTTTTTCAAGATAAAAGAAGTTCAGATCTTAACATATCCCTGTAAAATAAACCCTACATTCCTAATATCATCAGGGATGTATCTTCTGAACCCTTTCAGAACAGTTAAGGACAACATAACATAAATAGGTAACATGGAAATGTTATTTTTGTCACATGTTCATGGCTTATGTTAAATTTTTCAGAAACATAAAAAGCCAAAGCAAAATTTCTTTACAATTTATAAGCTTTTGAATAAAATTAAGTAAATATTAAAAAAAAACACTAAGAATGTAATGGGAGTGGGGGGGATGGGTAGCTACAAAATTTTATGTGAATACATTTGTGTACACATCAATCAAACTATAAGAAATTTAGAATAAACAAAGGTAAGAGAAATGTTAAAAATAATAAGAGTGAAAATTCTGTTTTGGCTGAACGTGTAAGCGATAACGATCATATCATTCGGTGTGGGGGGGGGGGGTTGTGTGTTTCTTATGAAGTATTTATCCACCTTATTAATTGATTTGAGTCATTCTGTAATATCTCAACATCTTCAATACATCTAGAAATAACAAAGATGTAATCTACAAACTTTACTAATTTAGTAATTTTGCCCCTGTCAATATCATTAATGTGTTTAAAGAGCAAAGGCCAAGTACTGACCCTTAATGTACAGGGGTAAGAAGGGTACAGATCGACTGGACTTCCCTTATAACAATCTTTTGTTTTTTTCCCATCCAACCATCCTACAGTCTAATGAACTAGTCTTTTTTCCGAACCCCGTGATTTTTTCAGCTACTTTTTTGTGTTATATCTTATCAAAAGGTTTTTGAAAATCTAAGTTCATTCGCAAAGTTCGTAACCTTTCTTTTGTCCGTATAACAAGGTTCTCAAAGGGAATAACAGATAAGTAAAGGGAGATTACCTTTTGGTTTTTCATTATAACATATTTCACTAAATGATTTTATAAAGCTTCTTTTATCAGACTCTAGAAGTTTTCCCACTACAGAAGTAAGACTAACTGGTGTATAATTTTCAGATTTTCAATTT